ACGCGCTACTCCGGGAAATCAAGGGCGTCGGAGTGGCATGCGTCAGAGTGAGACACACGCGCGAAAGAAGGGGTGAGGCTTGTACTGACGCATGCCACTTCCACCAAACGCATGAGAACGCGGACAAAATGGAATCCCAGGTTCACTAGACCCAAGAGAGTTGGGGAATAGACGCGCAACTCCGGGAAATCAGGGGCGCAGGAGTGACATGCGTGAGAGTGAGAGGCTGAGCACTAGGTGGCACATGCACGAAACAAGGGGTGAGGCTTGCACTCACGCATGCCACTTCCACGAAACGCATGACAACGCGGCCAAAATGGAATCCCAGGTTTACTAGACCCAAAGAACTTCGGGAATAGACGCGCAACTCCGGGAAATCAGGGGTGCCGGAGTAGCATGCGTGAGAGTGAGACATATGCTCGAAAGGAGGGGTGAGGCTTGCACTCACGCATGCCACTTCCAGGAAACGCATGACAACGCGGCCAAAATGAAATCCCACTTTCACTACACCCAAGGTAGTTCGGGAATAGACGCGCAACTCCGGGAAATCAGGAGCGCCGGAGGGGCATGCGTGAGAGTGAGAGGCTGAGCACTAGGTGGCACATGCGCGAAAGAAGGGGTGAGGCTTGTACTCACGCATGCCACTTCCCCAAAACGCATGACAACGCGGCCAAAATGGAATGCCAGGTTCACTATACCCAAGGGAGTTCAGGAATAGACGCGCAACTCCGGGAAATCAAGGACGCCGGAGTGGCATGCGTCAGAGTGAGAGGCTGTGCACTAGGGGGCACATGCTCGAGAGAAGGGGTGAGGCTTGTATTCACGCATGCCACTTCCACGAAACGCATGAGAACGCGGCTAAAATGCAATCCCAGGTTCAATAGACCCAAGGGAGTTCGGGAATAGACGAGCAACTCCGGGAAATCAGGGGCGCCGGAGAGGCATGAGTGAGACTGAGAGGCGGTGCACCAGGAGGCACATGCGCGAAAGAAGGGGTGAGGCTTGTACTGACGCATGCCACTTCCATGAAACGCATGAGAACGCGGTCAAAATGGAATCACAGGTTCACTAGACCCAAGGGAGTTTGGGAATAGACGCGCAACTCCGGGAAAAGAGGGGCGCAGGAGTGGCAAAACAGAAAACTTGCTACATCCCACATAAGTACCCTGTTCCGCAAGAAAAAGATGATTTAAGAATATATATTTACAATGATAATAATACGTATGATGCATGATCCTCGCAGTAGAGAGCGCTATTTATGCGTATCTAATACGTATCTAATACCGCAGTTCAAAATATATTAACTTCATATATACATTGTAAATGATAATAATATTAGCGATAATAATTTAAAGGGATTAGCTCCATGGTTCTCCTACCCCCTAGCAGGCTCCAATAATGACTACTTATGCTTCTTGTAATTTCGCCTGTTAATTAGAAATAATTTTTTTTTAATTTCATTGCAACACTCCTTTTCGCTGACTCTCACGTAAGAACAGCATGAAAAATACATTCACACCAATCGTCACTCACCAATCGTCACTCACGTTTGGAATCTGTCGCTGTCTACTCATACATGGCCAGACTCCTGGAAGAGGGCAAATGTTAATCCTCTCCCCAAAGTGAACATGCCTATAGAGGACTCAGACTACCGTGGTATTAATGTTACTCCCGTTATTGCCCGGTTGTTCGAGAGGGTCGTGTATCGTACACAAGCAGTCAGTCATTGAGAACAACCTCAGCCACACCCAATTTGTGGGTAGTTGCACAAATGCTTTGCTCGCTATCCAGCACCAGACATGCAAGTATTTAGATAGTAGTGACTGTAGCGCGGTGCGAATTTTTACCATGGACTTCAGTAAGGTTTTCGATTTTGTCAACCATGCTATTTTGTCTGCCAAACTGAAACAGCTACCTCTAAATCTGTACATTATCGATTGCTATCATAGTTTCCTCTATGCAAGACAACAACGTGTTGTTAGTTATAATTTTTAGGACAGTGGAAATCTGTCAATAGAGGAACCACACAAGGTAGTGTAAGCGGACCGTATCTTTTTAATATATTTTTGAATGATTTGAAGATTTTTTCAATGGTTGCACTGTGCTTTTTAAATATGCCGATGACTCCACTATTCTTTCGCCTATCACTAGGAATAGTGACCCGTCTGCCGACATAGTAGGACAGTTCTTAACATGGTGTAAAGACAATAGAATGGTCTGCAACCCTTGCAAATGTAAAGAGCTGGTTGTTAGAAAGAAAAATCATAATGTAATCTACTCTCCAATTCATAATATTCCCCAATGTAATACCTTCGTTTTACTAGGAGTAACTTTACAGAGTGACGGAAAATTTGATGAGCATGTAAGATTTACATGTAAGCTTGTCAAAGCAAACAGGTGTTTACACGTCCTACGAACATTGAGAAAGGAACATTACTCTCAGGCAGAGATTGATCATCTTTTATATCCATTTTTTTGCCTAATTTTAGCTATGCACTTTCAGTCTATGGGGCATCTGAGTCCGAAATTACGGTTGTACAAAATTTTTTAGACCGATGTCATAAACGCCGTTTCATCTCATTTCCAGTTTTTGTCAAGAACCTTTTAAACAAACAAGACCGAAACATTTTGAAGAAACTAAAATCAACGGATTGCCACCCCCTGCAAGACATTATTCCTGTCCAAAAGACATACGTACATAATCGTAGGAAAAAAGGCTGCACACGCCCGAAAATTAATACACAGCGCTTTATGAACACCTTTGTAAAAATAGGTTGACATTTAAGCTCCATTTATTGAAATGACATACTTTTTAATTTATAATATGTATGTAGATTTCTGTTGTAGTTTTTCCGAATTCATTGTAACATAAGATATGTAGTTTTATCTTATGATGGAATAAAGACTTTATTATTATTATTATAATAATAATATTGATTGGTTGATTTTAAAATGTTAGCGTAGACGATAACTGGAAGTAAATAGACCTTGTCAGCTACACGGTCAAGTGGTTTGAAATGAGTTTAAAAAAAAATTCAAATTGGACGAAATTCCTACTTCTCTTGCCACGCTCTGGTTATATGATCGGCGGCCAGTCAAGGTTCTCAAATGACTAAATGATATATATTTTTTAATTAACCAAACAGAAAGAACTACACTATCCAAACTTTTATACGTCGACGAGGAGCTACTAAGCGATCCCGAAGTGATTTACAAATCTGATCTCCAACGCTCACTGACTGCGTTTCCTTTTATGTCATCTCCGGTCA